CCATCAGAACATCTGCAGCACATTTAATCTACAATGAAAAATCTCAAGCAAAGCTTAAGAGATAACAAAACAGCTGCACTGGAGTCAATGTCATCTGCCAGATGCCAATAAAAGTATGGCCAAGTGTGGGAATCCTGGGTCAAAATTTCACCTCAGGTATAATCTTTACATATAGTAGAAGAGTGAAGTTACATACCGAGGAAGCAGAGGGCATTGTTTATTTTATGGGAACATGTATGTAGGTGGTCATGTTTGTAATTTTGCTATTATATTAAAATCTTTATGCAAACAATGCAAGGAGTAAAATACATGATTTTTTTAAAAATTAAGGTGCTAATTTTGCATTTCTAATTTTGCATGTCTGATTTTATTCCCTCCAAATACTACTGCCGTGCCAAACAAGGCCTTTATGCCACCTCATTCTTTCAGGAAAGGGAGAGGGCAGAGAAGGAGAATTCCTCCTTTTCTCCCCTCTCCCTCCTTTATTTCCCCATCCAACACTGCAAATGGTGGCAGACAAGTAGGATCCATGACGTAGGTGGCGACTGCCATGATAGGGTGGTCATCCAGCAACACCAAATTGCTAAATGATCAGGACTATTTCCCATCTCTGCAGAGGCTAGGGGGAGTACCTATCTGGCCCATCCCAGGGCTGGTTCAGCATATTCCACACCAGATCCACACCAGTATAGTTGGTCAGTGTACATCCACCCCAAGTCACCTTCCACCCACCTACAGAAGGCAAGGCGAGTGATGACTCATGATGGGATGAAGCAGAGCTCAGGATTGAACTAGTAAATTGGTCTAACCCATTTTATTTTTCTACTTGGCTTGACTTCTTGACTAATCCTAGAATTAATCCCAGAATTATAAAGTTAAAATTAATTTTCAGGATAATTCCTTAGTGGCTTCTTCCTCTCGCAGAAGCCATTCTGTGTAATGAAACAGAAAGCCTAAGGAGAAGCATTGCATCTGCTGCCTGTCATCAGATGAATAGCTGGGGAACAATTGGAGAGCTGATATAGGAGACAACTAAACAAGAAAATAAGGTGTTCTGGTATGCATTAAATGGACTGGGGAAGTGATTATTTATCCAATCTTCAAGCTGGCATAGCAATTATAGAATATCAGGCTCTTTTGCTCCGTGTCTCTATTTTTTTTTATTTCTATTGTACAATATATAACATTTTTTATGAGTAGCAATGAACCCTTATGTAATCCTTCAACATATTTCTTATTGTTGACACTGTGCTAAACCCTTCAATAATGAAGTGAAAAGTTTTGCTTCCCCATCCCCACTTTCTTATCTCTATCTCTTTCTCTACTACTCATTCTGTTTCTCAGGGGATCACACACCTTGAGGAGTTAGGGACAGTTGAAACTTGGAGCTGAATATATTCACATAACCTCATCCCTGCCTAGTGCCTACGTATTTCCTTTTTTTAAAAAAAAATTACTCAGAACTAAACTTATTAACTTAATTGAGCAAAAAAAAAAAAACACTTAGCACTACCATATTAATTTAGCATCAACAAATTCTTTTTCAAGCCCAACATTATATGCTCTAGGACAGTGGTTCTCAACCTGTGTCTCCCCAGATGTTTTGGCCGACAACTCCCAGAAATCCTAACAGCTGGTAAACTGGCTGGGATTTCTGGGAGTTGTAGGCCAAAAACATCTGGAGACCCATAAGTAGGGAACCACTGCTCTAGGATAAATAACCAAAGGCTCTTGTTCTGACATGCTTTCTCCAGGAGCCCATATTTGCATTTGCTCTATTGCATTTTGATTCTAGCTAAAAACATTTCCCCACATTTTTAAATAATTTGATGCAGTTGATCATCCATGGCTTGAAAATATTCAAAAGAAAATCCAAAAAAAAACCCCTGTATTTTGCTATTTTCTATAAAGGACATCATTGAGTATCATTGCAATAAATGTGGATGGGTCTGGAACCAAATCCCAGTGGATACAAAGGGTCCACTGTATTCTTTATGTATCCATTGTAACAGTTTAATTTTGGTTATTTACTACTGCCCCTCCAAGTTCTGTTGGAGGGGCAGTATAGGAATTAATTAAATAGAGAGAAATAAAATAAAACTCATTCTTCCATTCCATAAAATAGGATCAAATATAGCAGGGTAAGCCATACTAGGACTTTTATACTTCAAAGCAAACTTACACTAGGAAATTAAGTACATGTGTGCAGTGTGAAGTTCCATCAACTCACTGAAACTAATCACAATGACCAAGATCCAACTGGCCTATTCAGTTGACAGAAGTTTTTTCACACAGCCTGTAGACACCCTCAAGATCTACCCTTGACAACAACTCAATGAGCAGAACTTTGGGGAGTATGTAAGAAGAGAAGGAAAGCAACATATGGTGCCCACAGACTGGTTGGGAGAGAATAGATGACGTCCTCCAAGATCTTTCAGGCTTCTTCAATCAATGGCAGGATCCAATTGAGTCCCATCCCAAATACTGATAAGTCTAAATACAAAATCTTATGAGATGTAATATTCTAAAGCAGAAACAATATTCTTACAATTCTCCCTAAATCAACAGAGTTGAAACATCTGTAGCAAACTAAAAACAGGTTATTAAAAGGAAAACCAGCCAAAGTACAACCCTGATAAATCAAACACCTCCAAGCTGATGTTTCAACATGGCAAATATTATTTATTTATTTATTTATTTATTTAATACACTTGTATACCGCTAATATCTCAGCCTAAGTCGGCGACTCATTGCGGTTTACAACAATTAAAAACAATATACAATTTAAAACAACAACACATAGACAATACAAATTATTGGGCCACCAATAATAATACCATATCTCGAGTTGAAATCACAATCCAGAATTCGTTGTCCATATTTCCTGTCCTTAGTCATCAATATTCGAATTGCCACAGATTAGCCGAATGCTTGTTTGAACAGCCAAGTTTTTAGTCTCTTCCTAAACACCATCAGCGAAGAGGCTGATCGTACCTCTATAGGGAGGGTGTTCCAAAGCCGGGGGGCCACCACAGAGAAGGCCCTGTCTCTCGTTCCCGCCAGCCGCACTTCTGAAGCTGGAGGGATAGAGAGAAGGGACTCTCCAGAAGATCTTAGGGTCCTAGTGGGCTGATAGGCTGTATGGTCGACATATTCTGTATGGTCGACAGCCAGCTCTCTTATTTTACACACTAAGATAACTGCTATTGGTAGTTATGTTGAATGTAAAGTCTTGGTCAATTTTAGATAAGAAAGTCGAACCATAAAGCTACTGAAACAAGAACCCCAAGGCAAAAGAAAACAATTCCACATCACCCACATCAAAGGCATGTTAAGTAACTTCACAAGGACTTATATCAATGCAAAAATACTATTGGAGAGATCTTGCAGTTCACCTGCCCAAGCAAATACCTTTAAAAGCGATTCCATCATTATTGACATTTTATACTTCAAAGCAAACGACATCAATAAATGGCATTATTGATGTCATTTATTTCTTACCAACTCTCCCTAAAGACTGAGACAGGGAGCAGCAATAAAGTAGACACATACCAATTAGATGGGTGTATAAAATCAATATATATTGAAACAATCCATGCACACTTTAAAATTAATAATTGACATATTTTTCAATGTTTCTCTTGCTACATTTTCTGACTTTTTGCTGGAATCTGCTTCTAATATAAGAAGAAATATTCTATCCATTGGGATGTTAATATCACTGTTACTTTAGAGAAGGTCAATGCTAAAGCTATAAAAGATAGGGATCTAAAGCAGTTTTAGACAACCAGCTTAATTTTGAAAGCCTTCTGCAATTTGCCAGTTTTGCCCAAACTTCAGACGTAATAGTCTCTGAAACAAAGGGTAATTTTAGATATTTTCTTTCCATTGCAAGAATATATTTGACAAAACAGTTTTCAAAGGCTATTAAGCTTGGGATTTATTCAGAGCAAAGTTTGCAGAGAGTATTTTTGCAATGAAAATCCCAATTTTTGAACAGGAAACAGCATCTTTGACACAGAAAGTTATCTGCAGAAACGGTTTTCTGTGCAGAAAATGCTACCCATCTTTGGGCACTTATTTTGAACAAAAATTATTATTTTCTGCTCAGAAAAATGCTGTTGTACAAATTGTGTGCAGAATAAATTCCAAATTGTAGAGGTTCTTTTTAATCCAGCTTTCTTCTTATCAGCATTACCCAACACTTGAGAAACATGTTTCAATGCATTTTTCAAACATTTTAAAAATAGTCTTTTTGTTCCTAGTCAAACCATTGCTTCTTTTTTTCCTACTTTCCATACCTTTTTGTCTGCCCATTCTATCATACCACAGTTTTTAGACAAATTCCCCATTTGTATGGTTCTAAAAGCACAAACATGGGGGGGGGGGGTTTGAATCACTGAGATTATGGGCTTTATTTTGGTAAGTTGCTGAGAAATTGGATTCTCAAAAATTCATGTAGCTCTTTTCTTCATTCGTAAACTCAAAACATGGATTGCAGTGGGGGTAGGAAAATAGGATGAGACAACTCCATTTGGGTTTCTATTTCATGTTCTGCCATCTTGTAGCTCTCAACACATTCATTCCAAAGGGTATAAGAAGGAAAAATATTCAACATCCTGTCCTCAAAAGACATATGGAATACGTTCTAATGGTGAATGTGTACTGGTTTGATTCTGTACACTGACGGAATAATATTTAAGTCATATCCTGCTCTTCTCTGAAGAGTTCAAAGTATGGCCAAACATTTATGTATGCTTGCTTGATATTTGGATGCAATCAACATTTGACAAGTTCTGTGACTCCGTTAGACAATGGAGTCTTCTTTATTTAGGAATTGGATGTGTAGATGTGAATCAACAGATCTGCATCGAATTGGAAATAGTGTTTTCAGTATCTCAGGAGAGGAAAGATTGACATAAAGTAGCTTTTTGATCAATACCTCCCTGCCTCTACCATTGTTCCTCCCACCAGATCCCCAGGCATTAGGTTCTGCTTACCTTTCCTTCAAATTTGGCTGTTCCTCCAAGTGGCACTCGAATATTTCTTGGGGGTAAAGTGAATGCAGGTGGTTCTGTTGGAGCAGGAGGTCTTAGGGAAGAGTGTTCCAGTGTCAAGGAGGCTTTCGAGATTCTCGTAGACACCAGTTTCATGTCTGCCATGTTAAGAGCTTTGAAAAGTAAATGCAAAAAAAGAAAAGAAAAGAAGAAATATAAATTTTAGTCAGTTTGTCTGTGTAAAAGCTTTCAGAACTACAACAAAATCTCACCTATTCAGCAAAAACCATTTCACAGCAACACTGGGCATGCATCTGACTGTAAATCTTACTCAGTTTTCCAAGGATTTTTCTGTTGGTTCCAATTTATTTCACTGGGAAATATTAACCTGATCAAAGTTGAAGATAAATAACTATTTCTCAAAAAGGTAACATTACTTTCACATCAGCAGTCATCCTACAGACCAGGATGATCACCAGACATGTTTTTTGAATCTCATCTGCTTTGACCAGCCAGCATAGCTAATAGTGCTGGGATGCTGGGCGATTAATTACAGCATCTAGAACAGTGGTTCTCAACTTGTGAGTCCCCAGATGTTTTGACCTTCAACTCCCAGAAATCCTAACAGTTAGTAAACTAGCTGGGATTTCTGGGAGTTGTCGCCCAAAACACCTGGGGATCCACACGTTGACAACCACTGACCTAGAAGGACATAACCATCACCATTATATACCTACACTACTTTTGATGCCCTCCCCTGCAGATCTTGAAAGATAGTTGTCATGATATCAAACAAACATCTCCAGAAACATCTTCTGAATCCACTTCTTCAAGAAATACAAGAGCCACTATAAAAGAAATGCCCCTGAGCCCCATCCCTGAGCAGTGAGCCAAAAGGATACAATGTTTAGTGACATCAAAAGCTGCGGGAGGGCCCAGCAGAACACAAGGGCTATGTTCTCTTTGTCTAATTCCCTGCTTAGGGCATCTACGAAAGCAACCAAAGCCATCTCAGCCCCAAGCCTGAAACTAGACAAATATCACACTTCAAAATCTTGCCCTGAAAAGGGACAGTGGAGGCTGGCTGATAGTTCTCTGATATGGTGGTACACAGGTAAGATTTTTTTTAATGATTCCCTCTAGGAGACAAGAAGCATTTTCACAATGTTTTGAGGCCTTTCTGAGCCAATCTATGTTCAAAAGAAGTGTTTTTTAAAAAACAAAGCAAAACAGGAAGTGACATACACTAAACCTTCTGCTATTAAAAATTATTCCCCTTTTTCCTATTTGGAAGCAAAACAAAAAACAAACAAAACAAACAAACATGACCTCCCCCCCCCCCTTTTTTTGGCAAGAGTGGGTGTGGAAGAGGAATGTGCAAGGTCAAACTGCTGGTGGAAAGTTGATGATTCAACAGCATCCAGAGAATCACAGGTTCCTTATCTCTGGATCCATCTACATTGTAGAATTAATGCAGGTAGACACCAATTTCACTCTCATGGGTCAACTCTGTAATCCTAAGAGTTGTAGTGTGGTGAGGCACTAGCACTATTTGTCAGAAAAGGCTCGAGACCTTGAAAACAGTGTAGATGTATTATCTGTCTTTAATTGGCTATGTGGGCTAGACCCTGCATTTGGGGGTCTTCTTCTAACTCAGTGGTTCTCAACCTGTGAGTCTCCAGATGTTTTAGCCTTCAGTTCCCAGAAATCATAACAGCTGGTAAACTGGCTGGGATTTCTGGGAGTTGTAGGCCAAAACACCTGGGGACCAATAGGTTGAGTACCACTGCTCTAACTACAGTCTTCCTCAATTGCATAGCCATAGGAATCTAGGAGGATTCCATCCACAATAATAAAGAACTTGAGAACTTTAATTGTGGGGGGGGGGGGGGGATGAATTAGCAACAATTAAAGCAAACAGTCTCATGAAAATGAAGCTTTTGGCCATAGAAGATGTCCCTACAAATCAATATGCCAACTAAAGAGATATTTTTTCTTTAATGTTGAGGCTTATAATGGCTCACAGCCCCACTTTAATTACTTTTAGTATCCTTTCACTATGCAAAGAGGAAGATTACTTCCCTCAGATGTCAATGTATACACTGAACAACCCCATGCAACAAATGGGCCAGCGGCTGTGTTAATCTCCTGCTAGTAGCACACTAAAGGGCTTAGGAAGACAGAGGCACGGGTCATATGGCAAGATGGTGTAGTTTTATTTAAAATTATAAAGACATATTTCTTAATTTTTCAGTTAAATAATATAAAATCAAATTGCAGAGCATAATACTATAGACGATATACAAAGGATCCAAGAACAAACAGCAATAAGGTACAGACAATAACAAAAAGATAATATGCCCAGTGCGTACATATGGTTTTACACAGTGCATAGAAAATACCACCAGTGCTACTTGTGGATAGTTTGCCGTGGTATAGTTTGAATGGTTTTTAAAACAACTTCTATGGCTGTGCCTTGGCATCATTATACCTAATATCCACAAGCTCATTAGTATTAACATTAGCTCCAGCTAGAATATCAGACCTTAGAGCCAAGCATTTCTTTACTTTCATTTTTTTCAATTCTCCCACTTAGTCTAGCCACTGTTCAGCTTTACAATTATTAGCCAAGTTCAACCTAAAGAAGGTTTTCAAGTCAACCAAAATCTCTATTCACTGTTAAATGAGACATCAATGTGCTGAACAATTAAGGCTAACAAAGGTAAAGGACCACAAAATCCTGTTATTTTTATTGTATTGACTAGCTTGAGTATCCGGCATTGCCCAGGTTATTAGAAGAAGTCTTTTTTTTTTAACAAAATGCATAAGGTTGTGGGTGCACTACAACTCACATCATGACAGGTTAACACCCTAAAACTCCATCAATACTTGAAGTTTGTCATGTTAGGCAAGTTTGCTCTAGATGCATGGGGTTCAGTGTGTTCTCTGGCTGCAGGATGAATTACAACTCTCTCCATGGTGGGTGAGTCCCGTCAAATCCCTCCAGTACATTCAGTTGATCATGGGGTTTCTGTGTGCCAAATTAGGTCCAGGTCCATTATCAGTGTGATGCAGAGTGCTCTTTGATTGCAGGTGAACTATAAATCCCAGCACCTACAACTAACAAATATCAAGGCTAATTCCCCCCAAAACCCACCAGTATTCAAATTTTGGCACATTGGGTATGCATGCCAAATTCGGTGCAGATCCATCACTGTTGGCATTCACAGTGCTCTCTGGATATAGGTGAACTGTAATTTCTATAAATCAAGGTGAATTTTCCCCAAGGCCCTCCTGTATTTTTTGTTGGTCATGGGGGTTCTGTATGCCAAATGTGGTCCAGGTCCATTGTCGGGGGGGGGGGGGGGTCACAGTGCTCTGACTTGATGGAGGTTGAACTACAACTTCCATCATGTGGAGTCAATCCCCCAAACTCCTCGCGTATGTCTGGTTGAGGATTCGTTTTGCTCTGTTTGTTGTGCAGACAGAGCTGAAAACAGAAGGAAAGGGTTAAGGGAGAGGCAGTGGGTGGGATCATGCAAATTCCACACAAATGGAGAGAGTAAGGAACATTGGGATGTCGATGAAGGAAATATGTAAAATCTAGGATGAAATTGTCCTCAAATGAAAGTATTCCTTGGGTAGTGGGCAGTATGGTGTTTGGGAGGACATTGGCAGTGGTTGGGGTAAATATTCATGGTGCTCTATAACCTGAAATATCATTGGAGAGAAGGCTTTTGGTGGCTCCTCAGCACTGTGGGTTAAAGCTGTCTGTGGAAGTGGGCACCCCAGTCACACACACACACACACATATCCACTTTTATTATGGATATATAGATAAATAACTATAGTAAGAAGTTAGTGTTAATGTCATTTCTAATGTGATAAACATCCACATAGCCATTCATATCTACCAGAAACAAATGCCTACAAACATGTCAAGAAAATGCTTCATAAAGCAAAGGAAGAATTCAAGAACAGACAAGCAAAGAAATTTTGATGGGGCATAGGGATGTACTTATTAATAGAAGGGTCACTGTCACCGACCAAGCTATATGACAAATCAATACACAAAGTGAATAATTAACTCTGGGTCATGATGGGGTACATAGCAAGCCATTCTTGGCCAATATCAATTTATTAGGAAAGGACTAAAACGCCGGTTAAAAGAAACAAAATACTGGTTAATGGAGTGGAGCGGTATGTACCTTCATTTGAAAAATTAATTTCCTTTCTTGCTTCTCCAATAAAATACGTCTGAGATCACTATTGGATCCAATTCATAGGACTGTCTGCAAGAAAGCAGACAATCCACTTGATTTTTCAAGCATACTTTTTTCTTTCCAAAACTAGGAAACCCTTGCCTGGCCCTTTTGAGGCCTGCCCAGTCACAAATGCTGCCAATTTCCCATCAACATCTCTCTCCATCTTTTGAAACGCACAAAGACAGACAGACAAAAGACCCCACCCGTCCCTTGACCTGAAGGCCTTCCTCTGTGTTACTGCATGCCTCGCCATGAAGAGCTGCAGGGTTTTGCAGCCACAAGTTGTTAACGCTAAATCATTACAGAGGCGACAGTAAGGTGAGGACAAGCATGCCTATGGCTGGAATGCCAGACTGTATTCCAGTCTGGTTTATCAGCAGGAATGCAGAGAAGCACCTGGATTTCATTTCACGTTCTCCATGACAGGTCCTCATTCAAAAGCAAAGATCTTCTGCTTTCAACCTCATTAGCTGCTGGCTAAGGCTACCTGTAACATGCTTAATCTATGAGCCTAAATGGACAGATAGGGGACCAAGTGCCGCAGGGCCCTTGATGGACAAAACATCCCAGATTCCATGATAATACATGGCTTTAAAAATGCAGGATGTTTGGGATTCGTTTCTTAGACGTTCCAATATTCAGACTTCTACAGTAGGGGAGGATCTATTTCAAGAGAGACATGGCCTATATGCATCTCTACATTTATGTTACGTCAGATACCCTCAAGGAACCTGAAAAATTGCTTGGCAAGCCTGTTCCAACATTTAGCAGTCCCAAAATATGCAGAACATTCATTTCACAATAGTATTCCAACAAGAATCAATCAGGGACAGCTAATGTCTCCCAACCAAGGATTCCCCCAGGCAGCTACCAGCCAGGCTTTGAAGCTGCAAGGCCATTAAATGCTA